GGCAGTGCCCCTCCGATGTTTGCGATTTACAACTCTGAGCAGCACTAAAGCTGTTACGGGCAGGTGTGATGCTTACCACCAGGTGCACGACTTGTTCGTCCCAACACTTGATATCATAAAAAAATTATAACTTTTTTATTAAAAAAACCGACCTCAGAAGTATGCTTATGGGCTTTTTTATTTATTACACCTATGTACATATTTCCCAAGTTTTATTGACATCGGGTAAAGAAACGCGAAACCGGATTCATCTCCCAATTTGCCACCCCTAGAAGTGGATTATTTTCCTCAAATTTAAATGGAACCATTACTGACATTACCTTTCCAATAAAATGAAAGTAGAGTCAAATTAAGAACCTCCTCTTTTTTATAGTCGGTTAAAAACACATTGCGGACGGTAAATTCTGGATGTCTTTTTGGAGCTTTCAGCCTTATTCAGAATATAGAGTTATAAATTAACAATTCATTAATGTCTACGTCAATAAGCGACTTTGAAATCTTCTATTACGCAAGCACGATGATAATGCTTACGACGGCACTACAGACTTACGTGAGGGTATTATACCAACGATATTGTGATTGGTAGAAACTATATTTAGGGACCCGCTCCGACACATAGGCATTCACACGTGTCTGGCAAAACTAGGAACTCTCTAACAGTGACGAAAAACATCATAATGCATGAAAGTACATTTCGAAGAAGATTCGTTACACGTGGAAAATGAGTGAAGTTATCAATGGCCCATGCATTATGTTGTTGTTGTCTAAAATAACTTACAACTATTTGTCTCTCGCCTCCAGCTGGCAGTGTGGATCTGTGTCGCGGTACCTACCCCACGGCGCGAAGTGCACCGTTATTCGTTCGTAGCTGTGTGGAATCCCACTTGAACACAAAAGTAAACACGCGGTCAAGTTATAGCAGTCTCGTAAAAAGTTTAACAATCGCGGAAAAGTGGAAGTCGTCGCAAAGAACATCATAACAAAGGTTTGAGCGCTTCCCAAATTTATGAGGATCATACGTCAGATGTCTGTGATACGGCATTGTCTGTTGCTTTCTTACTTTATTGTTGTCAATTTCATTTGTGAATTCTGACACAATAAACTCACAATGTTTTAGTAGTAGTAGAACGCCTTGTGAAAGAGTTAGTCCAAGGAAGTACTGGCACCTTGCCTATTTCTACCGCCAAGTAGTAATATCAGCATTACTGCGTTCCGGTTTTGAAGGGTAAGGGTGAAATTACAGGCACATGGGACTTGTGTTTCAACTTTTCAACTTATGTTTCAGGGTGACGGGCGCAGTGGCAGTGCCAGATCTTTGCGATTTAAAGCTTTGAGTGGCGCTGCAACTGTTATGGGCAGGCGTGTAGCTTACCATCAGGCGCACGACTTGTTCGTCCCGTCACTTAATATAATAAAAAAACTGGCATACATTTTTAGATTAATTTGCTAGCGTCTAAAATAAAGAGGACAAAAACAAACATACCAACAACCCTCTCCTTCCACATAAAGTCTTTTGTAAGTAGTGATAATTACCTATTCTAGTTTTATGAAACAAAAACTATTACAGTATTGTTCTGTATATTCATACATATTATGTTAGGTACAGATCCTCAACATCACGTACAACTAAGCTACGACCAATCGATGCACTATGATACCTGACCTGACCCCCCTAACCGATCATTTGGATCTGCGTAAATAAGTGTGAAGAAAAGTGTTAAACAAACTTAACCTTTAACTTTGAGCCGTAAGATTCATTTTGGTATGACTACCTTATTGCATTATTAGTGAATGATGTTTTAAGAAACTTTTTAAGTTAATTTTATCTTTAAAATTTGAACCATAAATGCTTACGAAGGCTCTCAGAATCAAAAGGCCGGTTAGCCGTATATATATCTTTGGTATATATATGTTATATATACATATTCAAATGTTTTTCCTTTTATTTAGTAATTTATAGTTGGACTAAGTAATTGGATTGTAAAAGTGTGTAATTAATGTGTACATTAATATAAAACTTTCAACAGGCATTTACGAAGAATATTGATTTTACACTACACATTATTCTTGTATTAAGTTATTGCTTTTATACATAAGTGATTGTTCCACTTCTGCAGTCCTTGAAAGTTTTGTGAAACTTCTTTGACAAACAGGATACCCTTTGAATTTGCTTGTTATTGCAACAAGATTACCGTCTACTACACGTGTTTTTATACCGTGTTTATCTTTTCCTTTGTAGGTTAAAGACTGTGCTCAGGGTGATAAATTTTATAGGTGCGTGGTCTAGGAGATATTAAAAATTTAATGGCTGTAATCCATAGCCTTTATTGATTAAATTGTGGCTTACAATGAGATACACTAGACGTTAAGTTTTGTTACTTTCGTACTGCTGTTAGCGTTTTTTAAAAGTATAGATGAAAATTACAGCAATTTATAATAGTGACACCATATTTATTTATTTTTCTTATACCAAGAGACGGGACGAACTCGTCGTGTGCCTGGTGTTAAGCGACACGCCTGTTCATAACAGTGCTAAGTCATAACAGGGCAGTGCCCCGTATCAAGCTAATTGATTTTTGCTACAATTGGACCATAGGCTGCCAAAGGCCTTAAAAAGTCTAAAAAATATATGATAAAAACAACTATGTCAAAAGGGTGTATGACTCACCTATAGAAAACAAGTTAAACAAACAACCTTACAAAAATTAGTAGCATTAGAGTTCCCTGTAAAAGAGTTCGTCCAGGGAAAAGCTGCCACTTTACCTACTTCAGCAGTAATGTGACCATTACTGCGTTCTGATTTTTGAAGGGTAAGGGTGCTCGTGAAATTACAGGCACATGGGACTTGTTAACTTATGTCTCAGGGTGACTGACGTGGAGGCAGTTGACAACAGATTCTTGATTATTGACTTTACTTAACTACTCTGAGAGGGTGAGTTGTAATACAGGTTTAGTTACCTAGTACGATCTCCAGTCACTCACAACGGACACAACATTTAAAACTGTGTCCGTTGTGAGTGACTGGAGACCGTACTAGGTAACTAGTACCTAACGCACTAGGTTATAAAATAAGTGTATATTTCCTTATCTTGACAACATAAACCATTATTATTATTGTTATTAGTTTTAAGTAAACAAAAAATACAAAAATGTGTCGTCACCCTACTACAATTTCATAAAAATCTTTTAACACTATCTAATTATAGTGATGGAATGAAATCGCTCAAATGCGGCGTCAGCAATGTCATGTGAAACGGTCCTAACACAAATATACGTAGACAAGCGACCGTAATATCGCTTTATACTAGTTGTTTGGAGTCGTATCGTTGGCGCAGTCGTGTGTGACGGCTCTAAGGTGAAATCACCGTTGTAATAAAGCGCGAGGTTGTGAGAATGCAAGGTGGAGGAGTATAGGGTATTTTTTTAATTTGTTTATGGTCCGAAATAAATTACTATTATTATTTTTCTACAATTTTAGAGAATTTGCGCGAAAGAATGACACAACCATGCCATACAAAGCGAAAATGGCGAACTGAGCTGTCTCGAAAGACCTACTTGAGCTCAGATTAAACCTGTATTACAGCTCACCAGGCCTTAAGTAAAGTCAATAATCACTATTTATCTGTACCTATCTAACTTTTTGGTGGCAGATAGTTTCGTATGAGGTACGCAGTTTAGAGTAGGACACACGTATCCAAGTGCGGGACCTAAACGCATAGTTCTAATAGTATATACAGACAATAAAATGTAATTAGATTAGATTATTATTTTATTCCTCAATTCCAATGTTACAGTATAAATTACACAATATACGTCAAAGTATAACCTTTTTATCAAATTATACCAAGTGACTGAATGAACAATTAGTGACCTTGGTGGTAAGCAACACGCCAGTCCATAGCAGTTACATTGCCATTCAGAGCTTTATATCGCAAAAATCTGTTGTCAACTGCCTCCACGCCAGTCACCCGGAGACATAAATTGACAAGTCCCATGTGCTTGTAATTTCACTAGCACCCTTACCTTTCAAAAATCAGAACGCAGTAATGGTCACATTACTGCTTGGTAGCTTAAGTAGTGATCAATCATGGAAGTGAATAAAGTTTTTATCTATCTATTTGCAAATTGGATAAAACTAGCTCTTACGCTCTTTCTTCCTCGGGGTATCGATAGTTTAACCCGTTTGTAGCAGTTTGTCTAACCTTTTATCATAGCAATACAATTATGAAAACTAACTACAAATCTGCCGTTATGTGTGTTTTATAGATTTATAGACTTTTAGGATACATACGTACAATTAGCATTCGACGCCGCATAACGCCGTGTTAATAGACTATTTCTTAGTATTTTATTCTTCTTATAACAAAATAAAAAGTATTCTATTAAAAAGGTACTATTAGGGCGCAGTTATTCGACATGAATTTCGTAGCGCTCAACCCGCGCGGCCGCCACGCGGATTCCGCGTTGCCGCCGCGCAGCGACCGCATGCGTCTTAACAACTAAAACATACGCTCTATTTGTTTAGCCTTTACGTTTTAACTTAAATGAGCGTCCCGGGCACGCGGGCGAGTCTGGCTTGAATTTGGTCTACGAGGCGATCCGCGCGGCGGCCGCGCGGTAGTATTATTCAGAGGAATTTAAATGTTGTTGCCTAGTAAATAGAATTCAGATTCCCTATTAATGTACACGAAGGCGTGCTAAGTGGGCGACCGTCGCGCGGCGGCTGCACGAAATCATTCTTCCGTTGTAACTGGGCGCGTAGAGTTTCTTGATCGCTCTTTCCTTGGAGTTTCTGTATATCGAATTAACAGTAGAGATAATAAAAAACATAATATCGACGTGAATTATAATTTTGGAACCAATAAAATAGAGATTGTTAGGTCAAGTTTTTATTAAAGCATATTGCTGCATCCGCTTGCCCAGAGTTTCTTATTTTGGGCTTTTTTATGTAAAGCTACCTACTATCTTCACGCAAAAAGCATCCTTAAAAGGTGGTAACCTCTTGTTCTCCTGCAGACTATTGAAAGGGTCGTAGACTCTAAAACCTTTACGGAGATCCTCACGAACTATTAAGCCTTTCTAGCTTCATGTATAAATAAATAACATTAATTCTTCTTTGTTACAGGTTGCACGCGTAGTGGTTGTGAGTGGTTATATCTTATCCAGCCAGAAGATTTAAAAAGTGGTGGTGATTAGTGCTCGATTAGTGCAATTCGTTAAATTTTAATTAAAAATAAATTTAATTCAGCCTCTTTCGTGTCTTACCCCTAATTCGATTCATAATAGGCTTCGAAAATTTTGAAAAAGAAATGCAATTAGATTACGTGTGACAAGTTTTATTCACGACGTCTGGTCTTGAGGAAGGCAAGACGAGGACGGGGACAAAACAGCGATGGCTCGGCCTGAGGTTGTGCGATGAGCCGGCTGACGAACAGGAGGGAATGGACGAGCCTAGCTCCGCCAAGCGGCCCTCCGTTTTAACGATTGATAGAGCCGCCTTTCTTCTCTTAAGGGTTAAGAGAGCTTTTAAGAAGAAGAGACAGCAGAGGAAGGAGAAACAGTAAGTGTTATTTATATGTAAACAAAATAATATAGAGAATATGTTCTGTTACGTCCTCTAAGAACCAAATTTTCTCGTCATGCTTGAGTATTTTTCGATTAAGGAAGGCTGAAAAAGAATTAAGTTCTATCAGCGACAACGCTAAAACTTTTTAAAATATTTTTCTCGAATGCTGAGAAAATTTCATTCTGGGTACAACTTGTCAACTTAAGTTTCGCGACTTAACATATTAATTATATAGTAAAGCTATTGCCGTGTAGACGCTGGTATTATGTGAGTCATTGAAGTTATTGATCCATTCGAAATACATTGTTACTTTATTCATTTTCAGCGACATTTCTATATACATATATAATTTTTCAGATATTTTCCACAGCATGATAACCTGAGCTGAAGTGAACATAATTCCCGCTGGCATCAAAATATGTAAATTTTGGTAATTGCCATTTTGATCACGTATTCGTTTCACAAAGCCGAACCTCCTACTGCTTAGACCGAAACGGGCATTTATACATGCTCCACTTACATTGCTCATTTTCAGCGCAAATTGTTTAAGTGAGGCAACACAAAGATGTAATGGCAAGCAAGTGTAAGCAAATTGAGATGTATTAAGAGGAAACTGCTTCATTAGCCTAGATCAGTGAAGCAGTGTGAATGTCAGCTCTCGATCTACAAAGTTATACTGTATTCCATAGAGTCGATGAGTACTACAGAGAAAAGGAAAGAAATAAAACATTTATTGTATTAACACACCAAAATTATAGTTTGCATTATTTATTTTTATTTCACATTAAATCGTGTTAAGCGGTTTAATAGTAGTAGAAACGTCTCCCATAGATACGAGAATTGTTGATGCTGTTTCACTACCTACCTCTTCTTTCATGTCTTCGATTTTCTTCTCTTGCTTTTCTTCTTCTTTCTTCCTTTGTTTCTCATCTCTAGAGATCTTTTGAGCGAATGAGAATGTCATATCCTCTACAATGACTGGTGATTCTCTCTTCGTAGTCTGGGTAACTGTATTATCATAAATTCGTACCTCATCTTTATTGGTCAAGACTGGAAAAGCGGGCTTGAGTTTGAAATTTTTAAATTCATTTCTCAGTTCTTTATCTCCGACTATTTGAATATCATTTTTCTTGCCAACCTCCTTCTTCTTGGATAGTTTGGTGAAATCAAATGAATTCATATCCTTCTTTTTGGGGAAGAAGAAAATTTCAATTGCTTTTGGTTTTATCGGCATTGAAGGAAGAGGCGTTTTATTAGGTAGAACGTTATCCCAAATGAGAGGGAAGATTGGAACGTTATTTGGTTGTGCCGGGTATTCTACTTGAACCTGAGGTTTAGGATTGAATTCAAAGAAAACAGTGTCTTCTTGAAGGTGTTCATGAGATTCACAGCACATGGGAGAAGTGACAGATTCTTGATTATAGGAGAATAAATCATTGCTCCTAAGAATCTTGTGAAGTATCTCAGAAGGATTATTCAAGAAAGAGCTCTTAACATTTTTGAGAGCGGAACAGAGGCAGGGCTCTTCAGCGACCGGTTCCGATTTTGGAACGACGTATGATTTCGAAGGATATGTAATTGACTCGGATTTTATATTGGCGAAATCTGGAAAAAGATATTCTGATTTAATTAGACGGCAAAGAATACTAAAGTATTAAATATTTCAAGTTGTCAAGATCTTACCATGAGGAAGTCGAGAATCGAAGTGGAAGGAGATGTCCATCTTGCCGAGGTTGACGAGAGAGTTGCTGATTGCTGGCATGGACTTAAAGGCTTTGCTTGTGTCCCGGACCGCCCATACCGCAGCCAAGCAGATCACCAATATGCCCAATATGTTGAACATCATTTTCTGAGAACGAGTATTATGACAAGTTCTCACGTTTCGACTGAAACGTTTAATAATTTGGTCTATAATACTAGACAGTGTTGAAATTTATCTATGTTATGAACTCATTTACAGGGCATCTCACGGCTATGCCACATAGAGGGAAAGGACCTTAAATACTATAGATAAAAAAGTTACTGAAAGAAGTCTTCATATTGATTTTAAAAACAATTCGAACCGCATTCAAAAATTTTTAAATAATCGCCTGATCGAGCCGAGAATCGAACCAAAGTAAATGTGAAGAAACAAACACCAGTAATTTTACTAAACTGATCGAAAACCTCAATCACAAGGATTATTTTCTTCAAAATAACATAGCATCTTAAATAAAAGGAAGACATTGAAATTTAACAATTAATTTGAAATTTTGTTCAGGAAAATAAATCAGTGAAAGATTTAGTATACACGAACCGGTATGAGAATGTGCATTACGAACTGAATTATACGTATTATTTTAAACATTCACCATGAAAAGATAAATAAATAAACAAAATTACCAAAAGAGTGAGAACTTGTTTAATGTAGTATACAAATTCTTACTGTTTTTCCTATTCTGTAGAACGGGACACATTTAGAGGATTTGATAACTTATATTGATTGTAAGTTGCAGTAAAATATACGTAATTACTTTAAATGTTAAATTTCATGGTCTTCTTTTTATTTAAGATCATATATTACTTAGAAGAAAGTAATACTTATGATTGCGGCTTTCGATCAATATAGTAAAACTACAGATGATTTTTTTCACACTTGACGGGTTCGATTCCCGGTTCAGACAAGCGATTATTTAAAAATATTTGAATGCAGTTCGAATTGTTTTTAAAATCAAAATCTTCTTTTAGTAAATTTTTCTTTCTATGGCATTTAAGGTACCTCCGTTCCGTGCGGCATAGCCGTGTGACGTCCTTTATATTATAATTTACTCACGTCTAGTGTTAAGTCAAACGAATTCAAGATTGTGTGAAGTGTATTGCAAGGACAACTTGAGTAACTAAATGACAAGTTACAATTGCGTCCTGTGCGAACTCGTGCGCACATGAAACCATACGAGGGACAGTAATTATCAAAATGAAATAAAAATGTAATTAAGTTCAAACAAAATATTAAATAAAAATGCAGAAATGTTTGTGACTTACCAATATCTCGTCGATAATGCGAGTTGTAAAAATAAACTTGGATTGAAATTCCGCAAATGAAATTCAGAACATTACGAAACTTCGATTTGGTGTTTTATTGGTTTACTATTTTATGATCACGCTTGCGAAACGTAAATTGGACACAAATTTATGTTGTACCACGAACACGAACAAGCCTTTCATTTTTCTCTTTGATGATTGTTAATGCGTTTGAATTAAGAATCTTTAAAAAATCTTTGTTAAGTACTTAGTATGTGTAGGACACATCTAGTAAAACCAAAGCAGGTTTCATGTTTTTAGCACTTTAGGCAACAAAAAATCACATGCTTTCTTAAAATATTTTACGTTATTTTTATGTTTATGTCCTACGGTATCAATCCTTTACGTATACTGGCTTGTTATACATACGAGTAGCGTCATACATATAGATGTAAACAATAGGAGACAATTAAAAGAGATATTAAAAATTAAAAACGAATGAAGTTAAATATGATAATATAATATATACTCGTATGTATCATGTTAATGAATTTTGAAATAATTAAAGAATATATTTCGTTTTCTTTACTCATTTTTCAATTACTAATGATTAATTCTAGAAATTACTAAATAATTTTTGATTACTTAATTATATTTATATTTTGATTTTTTAATTTTGGCAGCTTTACTGAATATAACGTTTTTCTTTACCTATCGGTCTCAGTGACATTGTATCTAAAGTTTGACGTAGCCAAAAAAATCATAAAATGATAAATATACTCAAGTGCATTGATTTTTGCTATAATATAGTCTGATGAATTTTATTACTTTGTTTGCCGTGTTTCCTAATACACAAATCAATAAGTCGACCTAATAATGTTATTACTTGACCAAAAAATTCCTACATCCACCAAATGTCACACAAAAATCCATGAGTTTAGAGAATATTATATGAAAACGTTATAAAAGATCATCATTTCTTGCACCCACAGACCACATGAATGTTGCACCCACAGTAAAATTTTAATTGTAAATTGTCATTTTGAAATCAATTTGTGAGTGATGTCTAGATCATGGAAGCTTGCTTCCATGTTTTGCGGCTTGTTACGTATATATAATTTATTAGTTAGCTAGTCAAATGTGTTGCAAGAATATGACTCATTATGTGTTCAGTTACCACGTGAATAATAAACTGATCCAAATATGTAAGTTTATGGGCGATTCGGTACTAACACTTTAGTATTTTCGTCGAAGAGCACTCGTTCTCAAAATAAGTGTAGAATGCACGTAAAGTCATAAAATTTTGATTTTACTTACGTCAATCCTGAAAGAACTGTAAACCTACTTTAACTTCTCATCGACGTACACAGGTTTTTTATTAAATTTAGACAATGTCTGCTGCCGCTCTTTTGTTTCTGGTAACTTGTCAATTTCGTTTATTGTGACCTTTATTACTTTGTCAACAATGTTGTTGTTTACTTATATTACTTTCGGTTTACTTTTTAAATGTTTTCAATATTTTTTCCATGTTATATTTTAACTTAAGAATTAAAGATTCTCTGTTCATATTCGTTGTATTTCAGTCACTATCATATTTCATATTAATAGAAGATGTGAAGGCAGGAAGTAAGTCTTCACTCTTGATGGATCCACAGAAAAAATTAACTTTGGTTGACGACACTTTTATAGATCAAAAAGATGTTGTTCTAGACATGGTGAGATATGAAATACTATACTGAAACTAAGTGCTCAAATGTTTATTTTTCTGATGACACACATTATATACTAGTTGACTTAGTATTGTTAAAACTAGTTTTGTCGTTTGTAACAAAGATAAATACACAGTAAGCTAGTAACACGTGCCTATATGCATTTGGATTGAATATTTTTCATAGAATGAATTGATCGTTAAAAAACACTAAAATATTCAGTACATTTGGTTAGTTTGAAAATTACAATCAATCGGTTAATTAAATTACAATTTATATACTTTATGTACGCAATTTTTCAGTTGGAATCGAAATTGAAAGAAGTGAGAGACAAGAAGAAAAACAAAAAAGAACGAAGTGCAAATAATAATAATCACAATAATGGAGAAGGTTCAAAATGCGACCCACTTCCAAAGAATATGGACGTAAAATACAAAGCTAGTGGTATTAGTGGTGTTGGTGAATTTGACCTTTCGTTGAGATTTGGAAGCCAAGGTAACTCCACTCTTTGGGACTTACGTCCAGTCCTAAATCCAAGTCCAAACACTGCTTGGCCTAGTGCTGATAAAGAACTAATATAACATAATTAAATACAGCCTAGGCCCTAAGACCCTGATCCCCTAACCGACTATTTGGTTCTGAGTAGATAAGTGTGAAGAAAGGTGTTAAATAAATTTAACCTTTAACCTGTGAGCCGTAAATTCATTTTGATGTGATTCCACCATTGCCGTACAAACTTTTTAAAATCAACCAAGGTTTTTAATGTTCTATACCATAATGTTGCTAAAACGAGCAATGCAAAGGTAATATCAACGACATTCGCTGTTCTCGAATGTTTATCTTTTAGAGTCATACAACCATAAAGGTTTGATTTTTTTAATGCTTCAATATTTTTACATGAACTTACTAAAAAGCAGTTTGAAATTTGTTTTTCGATGTATTAACTAACATGAATGAAACAAATGGTTAAAGTTTGTGGTAGTGATTCTCCGTCTTTTTTTAGGAACACGAACATTGATGTATTATAGCTTGTACACTATTTATTAAGCATGTGATGTCACAGGCTTACTGATGTCGTTTCAATACTGTTTTCATTCTGGCTTATTAAAGAATAACATTTAAAATTCAACAGTCATCAAGTACCCAATTTAATTCGAATAACATACACTATGTCGTTATTTCAGGAAAAGCCTCTATAAACTTTGATGCCACGGGAATATCAAATGTGGGCAAAGCACGTTTAGATTTAGGTGTTGGTGAGGGTGGCATTAATTTACCTGGACTTGGTCAATTGTTTGGTATGTTTTTAATTTCACTCCATCTATTGCCTAAAAGCGATGATATCTAGTTGAAGAACGGGTGCTTATCAGCTGAGAGGTCGATGATTCGATCTTTGTCGCGGCATTTACCTGTCACTTTAATTTATTGGTTACGTTTAATTATGTGAATGTTTAGTATCAATATCTCTTGCTAATAGTGAAGAAATATCATCGTGATGCTATCTTCATGTCGAAAAATATTCACAATACTTGAGAAACAACAACCAAAAGTCCAATTATTATTGTGCCAGGGGTACTCTCGTTCTCAGTCAGGCGTCCGTCCGAAACTGACATTTATAACCAGTACATCTTTTGATATTGATATTCTAATAAATCTTGCTTGCTTAGTTGCGCCCTCCATTCAGTAGGTTAGGTTAGTGTCAATTAAGTAATACTCGACCAAATTTTAAACTTCATGGCCACGGAAGAGATGGTCAGTGTTCATACCTAATATTGTCTTTTCATTTGTTCGAATATTACATTGACAGTAAGCGCGTTTGTGCACTGCATCTAATTCGTATTCGTTCCAAATCCCACACTATACAAATCTAGAAAACTTGGACTCACTTCTGATGTCGTTTGTGCACTTAGAAATAAAATGATCACATTTCGGATCGTCATTTCTCGGATTCGGAACTAATACGAATCGAACGTAGTGCACAAACACTCTTATTGTTTTGGACGTATGTCGGACGGACAACGCGAGAAGGTCACCAGATTCGTTTGAATGTTCGCAAATCTTTTTCCCAATTTCTATATTAATTCCACATTTTGCTACATTATACATAACTATCGTTTCTTTCCATTTTCGTATCTATACTCCAGCCAAATTCGACATAGAATGTTTAATAACAAAATGTTGCTGGGTAACCAATTATGGCACAGGGAAAAACATTTTATGTCAATGCGCATTCATTATTTAGGCAGTTCTGGCCCCGGCCTTATTTTAACCTGGCCAATTATCAAAAACTTTGCAAAGTATCTATGGATACGTGTCATATAAGAATAAAATAATTAAGTTTTTGATAACGATTAGTATTTACTACTAGCTTTAGAACAGAAAAAAAACACAGATTTTATTTTGTGTTAAGTTACTACATATCTCATCCACCATCAATTTCCGATCCGATCCGAACCACAAGTGTACCTAGGTGGTACTAATTCAAACTCGAATGTTTGCAATCTCTCAGTTCAAATACAATAATCATTGGGGATGACACTGTTATATAAATAAATTAAGTATTGGTAAATTTTATGTTGATTTCAAATCACTTCCTAGAGAGTCAACACCTCTGTAAAACTAAATTCATTGCAGACATGACTTCTAGAACAATATTATCTATAGCCTAATCGACTTTCGGGGGGAAATGTTGAAATTGTGGTAGTCGTTCAACAGTCTAAGGTGAAAACCCCAAAAATCATATGGTTTTGTTTGTTGGAGGGAAAGATGACTTTTTCTAAAAAAATATCCCTTTCCAGCTCGTCCTAATAGCATGTGTAACTTAACCAATTCAAGTGAAGCCAAACACGGGAATAAGGTAGTGACCGGCGAAACTAACAGTGATACAAAACTGGAAGTGAAACCTCTTGCCAATACTGGAAACGACTCAATTAACACAAGGAGAAAAGAGCTGAATACATCACGAAATCAATCAAATACAAATGTGAATTCGTCTACAGTAACACCACTTACTGATACCCCATCAGCAACTTGGGAAATTATACCTTCTACTTTTGCAAATACTACAACTCATATAGTCGATAATAGTACAATACAAATAAGAGCTAATGATAACAGTACAGGGAGTGAAAGTGCTGCAATACCCGTTGCTGTTGTCGCTGACAGTAATAGCACTACTGTTAGTAATGCTATTGAAGATAGTAATTCTACTGCGACGAGATGAATAACAAATAAAA